GTCACCACTATAATTGCAATACTCATTTAGCTTTATGTGTTACATTTAGATGTGTGGCCCATTTTGAGTTAATTTTCATAACAAGTGTGAAGTTTAGGTCAGTGTGTGTGTGTGTGTGTGTGTGTGTGTGTGTGTGTACGCATGCGCATGCTTGCATCCAATTAATCTAACATCTTTTGTCTTTGGGTATATCGCTTTTTGTACTTTCCAAGGCTATAAGGGTTACGATACAGATACTTCTCTCATTCTACAAGGAATCAGTGTTTTACCTCACAAGTAGAATGTAGAAAAAATATTTTTTTTTCTCCTGGAGATGGAACTCAGGACCTTGTGCTCGTGAGGCAGGTGCGGTACCACTGAGCTAGATCCCCGGGTCCTAGAATGTAATCTTACCACCCACATTCATTAACTAGACTGTGGTGATTTTTCCTCAATGTTAGCATAAAGCAAAATATCAAGTCAAATATTTTGGATATTGACAACTTTAATTTGACAATTTTATTTCACTAGAAGTGAGGGAAGCAAAAACTTGGTTATCATGCATGTCTCTACCCTCTCCTCTCTCTGCTGTGTTTATCTGCTGTACATACAAGGAGAAGTTCAGGCAACTTTCTTTTTTAAAATTTAACTTATTCTGTATATTTTAATGAGTCCAAGAGGAGCATACTTCTCTTTTATATTTGTATTTATTCACATATTTACAATTTCCATTCATCTTCCTTAATTCTTATTGTTCCAAGTTTCTTTGAGATATTATTCCTTGTAAAACTTCCTGTTATTTGTGAGCACATCTGCTGGCAATGAAATTTGTTAGCTCTCTTCATATTTAACTTTTGCTTTCTCCCTTTCCTTTTTCTCTCTCTATTCGAGTGCTGACATGGAACCTGCAGCATTGCATAAGCTAGGACAGCACTTAGCTATGCCCCCCGCTTATGACCCTACTTTATAGAGAACACTTTCATTGAACTTTAATTCTAGATTGATAATGTTTTATTATAGCAATTAACAATGATATGGTACTTTATTTTACCCTCCTTATTTTTGTTTTGATTTACATTTGTCTTAAACAAGAAATTCACAGTTTTGCTCCCTTTTAATAACCACATCATTTTTTTTTTCTCGCTGCCTTTGAGTTTTTCTTTAAGGTTCCAGTGGTTTGTTTGTAATATATCTCGGTGTAGATTTCTCTGAGCTTAATTCAGTAGGATTTCATATCTTCTTAAATTGTGGGTTTGCATATTTTGTGGGGGGGTCAGCCACTATATTTTCAAATAATTTGACTTTCCACAGTGAACTCTATATCTTTATGTTCTAGAATTCTACTGACAGGAGTGACATGAGTTTTCCAAGTCCCTGAGTTTCCCTCTTTTCTTTGTCCCTAATTTTAAGTGTCTGTTGTTTAGACGGGATACTTTTCATTGATACGTATTTTTGTTCATTGATTTTACCCTGTTGTATCCGTTATACATTTGAACTCATTCCATAGCGTTTTTTTAACTTAGGTTATTATTTTTTAAAGTTCTAAAAGTTCCAGTTGCTTTTTTTTGCATATCACCTGTCTCTTTGCTGGCACTGCCCTGTTGTCTGTGGTGTGTTTTTCCTCACTTCTTGGCGCATTTTAAAAATAGCTGCCTTAAAGTCTGTATTTGATCATTCCAATACCTGTGACATCTTGGCGGTCATGACATCCCCTTCCCGGGGAGATGAGCTGTTCTGCTTCTTTGCAGGCTGAGTGGTTTGGGCTTGTCCTGGGCACACCGGATGTTATGCAATCCTATCTGTTGTTGAACCCTGTGGCCGCTGCGGGTCTGTTGGAGCCAGCAGTCAGTCCCGTTGGGTTCAGGCTGAAAGTACTCACCTCTCTGCTGCAGTATGTTACAGTGTCAGTTCTGGAGCCAAAGCTTGTACAGTCAGAGTGGGAGGTGTCCTGCACACGCGTCCGGTTTGAGGCTGAGCAGTGGTCGGTCCCTTATCTTAGTTCTTAGTTTCTTGCTCATGGCTGAGACACAATACCTGACACCATCTGCGAATTAAGAGAGGTTCATTCTGGCTCATGGTCTGCGGAGGTTCCAGGGCATAGTCGGCTGGCTCTAAGGGCAACATGGCAAGGAGGCTTGCGTGTGGTGTGGCAGTCAGGAAGCAAAGCACCAGATCCACAGAGGAGGGAGAGAGTTGCACCATTCCAGGCCACACCCCCAGTGACCCGCCTCCCCCAACCAGGCTTCACTTCCCAAATCACATTTGGCTATAAATTCATCAGTTCACTGATCCAGTGATGAGTATCCTGCTCCCATGACCCAATCTTCTCCCAAAAGCCCCACCCATGAGCGCAAGAGGCTGTGGGGGGGGGCGGGGGTATGGGCGGTGGTTCTAGATATAAACCATAACAAGCGTACGGAATGTTTTTAAGGTCAGATAGACAGGTGCAGCTCAGAGGTGATTTCAAGTGACCTTAAAAATACTGCGTGCGGTCGTTTCCCCAACTTCCTTTCTCTCCAGGACCCTCGGGCAATTTTGCATTTTAGAGCTCCTTCTGTTTTGTTCTCCAGCCAGAAGACTGGGTTCTTACCAGATGCCCATCCCTGTTCACAGGCTTTCACTTGGGGGCCCAACTTCTCAAATCCAAAGCATTTAGAAGACGCGGAAGGACTTCCCTCACTTTCTGAACATGAAGATTCTCCCTCACCCTCTAAAGAACCACCCCTCTGTCTATGAGTAATGATCAGTGCTGGACACTGGGCAGCTCTGAATCCATGCCTGGGGATAGTGGTGTGTGGGGTGGGTGGGGGGCCCTGTCTGTTCCACAGTTTCTACCCAGAATTATAAAGCTATGTTCAGCATGCAGACCTGGTGAAGAGACTTCCCTTCATCGTATCCAGAATGAGACCATCATTACCATCTCCTTTATTTTTTGTGATAAAATATACGTGAAATCAAACTTACCATTTTAGTAATCATGAGATGCCCACTTTGGCTTTAAGTACATTCCCAGTCTTGCACAACTATGATGGTCCACCTTGAGATACCCACAATAAATCCGTTAGATGTCATGCAGGCATTCCTGGTACCCTTTCCCCAATCTCTGGGCATCGCTAATCTGGCTTCTGTCTTCCCACATTTGCCGTCTTCATGTTTTAACAATTTACGGAGGCATAACTTATGCAACACAAACTTACATATTTCAAATAAAATTCAGTGTGGATTTAGGGGCTGGGATGTAGCTCAGTGGTTCTGCTGCAAGCCTTGCAAGCGCAAGGACCCGAGTTTGATTCTGGGCACCAAAAAAAAAAAAAAAGGCTTTCAAAATTCCGCGTGGATTTTTATATGTGCTTATAGAATTACACCCATTTTCCTTCATTAGTTTTGCATATGTCTTTCCAGTGCTTTTCTCTGTGCTTCACTGTATCTTTCATCAATTTCTTCAGTGATCCAGCATAAAAGGAACTATAAAATTTGTGTACTGTTCTAGCTCCTTTCCTAAAAGCTAAACACTGTTTTTGAACACTTCCCATGTCTTTTTCAAAAGCATGATTTTCATGCTTATTCTATTCCATAATGTGTCTATGTTCTATCTTTGATTTTCTCATACATAGTATAATGTTTACATGTTTCATTCCTAAATAATGAAGCATTTCATTAATATGAACATAAACACTTGTGTGTATCTTAGCTTATTTTCTTAAGAGCTGTTCCTAGCCGTCCGTTTTCGAGGTTAAAGGATGTAGAACAGCGCTGATATATAGGGTTTGAGTTCTGGTGCATCCTAAAGATTATTTTTGTTTATTGTTTTAGAAAAAGTAAAAAGAAACTCTCAATGCAAAATGCATAATGTGTACATCAAAAGTTGCTTTCTAAACCTTCTTATCCTTTAGTAAAAGTTTCAAAGACTTACAGCACACTGTCAGGGGCTGGGAGTCAAAAGTTTTTTTCATCCATTAAAAAGAACACTAGAAATATACAAAATGAATGGCCTAAATTTCATTTCAGCCATTTGCACTGGAGGTAGGGTTCCCTGGTCCCTGTTTATCTGCGTGACCATGTATCACCTAATTTGTAAACTTCACTTTTCAGCCATATCCTTTGTACAGTCATGTAATGCTTTCCTTCCCAGCCCTCTTAACTCACATTTTTTTTCCTTGCTTGGATAACAAATTACATAGTCATACTAATGAAGCATCCTTGAATGTTTAGCAAAGCATTTGGTAAGGCAAAGATAATTGGCATATGTTTTGCTAATTTCCCTTTTTTGAGATATGGCAGATGTCGCCGACAGATGAGGGGTCCTTTTTCTCACACAAGTGTTGCTCTCAGAATCTTCCTGAACACTGTGCTGTGGGCAGTTACTACCATCCTATTACCACTAAACCATCCAATGCAACCCATTTGCTAAGGCCGATAATTGACATTACTGGCCCTGTAACACTGGAGAAAACGTGATGGTGTTATCATTGCCTAATCACAAGCAACTCAATTCAGCCAATAGAGAAGACTCCCGGCTGCTGCAAGACAGGGCAAGACAGGTTTTCCCACCTACAGGCGATCCCTCATCCTGCACATATGTTGCCCCCACATTCTCTCCTACCATGCTCTCCTCCAACTTTTAGGTCTTCCACTCATCCTGGTCCAAGTAAGGCTTGGGCTGTGTAAACCTAAGAAACTTTAATTACATAATGAATGAATTTCTTTAATTCTAGTGATTACAACTCTGTTTTCTTTCATGCTTTTTTTTTTTTTTTTTTTG